AAAAAGCATTAATTGAAAGTTAAATGCAACTGTATTATTTTCAAGCATGTTGTGTTTAATTATGAGTTATAGATAAAATGTATTAATTGAAAGTTAAGTACAACTTTAATGTTTTCAAAGATGTTGTCTTTAGTAATGAGTTATAGATAAAAAGCATTACTTGAAAGTTAAATACAACTGTATTATTTTTAAGAACGTTGTGTTTAATAGTGAGTTATAGATAAAAAGCATTAATTGAAAGTTAAATGCAACTGTATTATTTTCAAGCATGTTGTGTTTAATTATGAGTTAGAGATAAAAAGCATTAATTGAAAGTTAGGTACAACTGTAATGTTTTCAAAGATGTTGTCTTTAGTAGTGACTTATAGATAAAAAGCATTACTTGAAAGTTAAATACAACTGTATTATTTTTAAGAACGTTGTGTTTAATAGTGAGTTATAGATAAAAAGCATTAAATGAAAGTTAAGTACAACTGTATTATTTTCAAGAATGTTGTGGTTAATAATGAGTTATAGATAAAAAGCATTACTTGAAAGTTAAATACAACTGTATTATTTTTAAGAACGTTGTGTTTAATAGTGAGTTATAGATAAAAAGCATTAAATGAAAGTTAAATACAACTGTATTATTTTCAAGAATGTTGTCTTTAATTGTGAGTTATAGATAAAAAGTATTGCCATTAATTAATTGAAAGTTAAATGCAACTGTATTATTTTCAAGAATGTTGTGTTTAATAGTAAGATACTTAAACTAACATTTGAAACTCGTTAGACGGTTTTACAAACTACATAAAATGGAATAAAATATAAGAGTTTGTTCTAGCTCAGTGTCTTGGTAGAAAGTTTTTTATTGTTGAGATTTAATGGTATTTTGCCGTTGTGTGTGGGTAATGGATACTGGGGTATAAAGTACAGCTCAAACACCGTTAGATAGTGAATAACGTTAAAACCATACAAGTGTTTCAACAAGAGTTGAGCTGCCTGCTGGCGGTAGGACATTACTAGCGAGTTAAATAGCACGTTGTGGACCATCTGTTTAAACATGTGTTTCATATATCTGCCAAGGTCTGCGATTGAGGACAAATGACATCTATCAAGATGAAACTTGAATGATGAAAATCTCTAGCTATTATTTTCCGAACTGTATCAATTCGTTTTTGTTTACATTTATAGATAAGTAAATAGCAGTTGGGTATTACGAGCACTGTGCTGAATCAGCCTTAAATACTTCTTGTTGATTGGTCAAGTTATACGGGCTCTGTGACGTATTTACATGTAACACAACTTTAAATCGTTTTTGGTGATTTACTGATGGTGCATTTTATTCTGGTTTATACTGGGTAAAAATGGCTTCGTCCCCACAAGTAGTGCAGACTTAAACATTGGTGCACATGAACCTGGCATATGGTTGGAGACTGTGGTTTCAGTACCACATATAGAAGAAAATTAAATATCTGTACACGCTCATTATTAGCGAGCTGTTAAAATGAAATAAAGTTGGTAAAAGTGGATTTTGCACTACAGATAGTATAGTCATAAATGTTAGTATTATAAATTATAGTATACAACTGGCAAAAGTGGCTTGTGCACCACAGGTAGAGACTTGAACATCGGTGCGCGTTACCTCTCTATAGAACTCTTAAAAGTGGCACAAACTTAAATATCGGCGCCCATGGATGTGATATAATGATGATAAAAGAAACGTTGTTTCTAGTAAAGACTTAGACAGGAATGATAAAAATTGTTCGAGCACAAAAGATGATGTAGATTTGAATATAGGTACACGTGACTGTGGGTTATTTCCGGTTTTAGCACAAGAAACAGCACAGGTCTAAAGGGTGGTGATACACGTTGCTAGGGAAGGAATGATTCCAGTGGGCCAGATCTAGATGTTGGTACTGCAGATCAGACGAGTACCACAGGTACTACTGATTTAGGTGCCGTTACTCATGAGGCTTCTGTTGCAGGTAGTTGTAGTAACACAAATTATATAGGTCTTCCAAACTCTGTGTACAAATATTATTATATTTACGATAACATTCGCAATAAAACTTGAAATTCCGCCTTCCCATATTAAGATTTAAAAGTTTCTTTACACTCGGAGTTATTCCCAGAGTTATCTCAGTCTTGATTGTGCTTATACATCTTAGAATAAATATCTTGTGTTCGGCAAGCTCGTTATAGAAGCAATTCTTATACAAATAGATCGGAACTTCCAGCGGAAGTAACTTAAGTTCGTTTGTTTTCGAACAAAGCCACACTGGGCTGTCTGCTATGTCTACTGCAGGGAATCGAACCCTAGGTTTTAGTGAAGTCCGTAGAGTTACCGCTGTTCCACCAGGGATTGTTATCGAAAGAGACAGTACTAAGTCAAACTAGCTAAAGTTGTCTGAATTTGTGTAGATTTGTTTCATTATTCAAGATTCACTAAAGAAAGGAGCACACAGCCTTTTTAGTTTATTCTCGGTAATAGAACATGGAAAAAGTTGTTAAGCTTGGTTCCTTAATAGTGGATGGTTGAACGTCAACAATGAAAGATATCTACTTCAGCGCCACCTGTGGTAGCATTAAATAGACTGAGAATGAATAGGAGCACCGGCTTCGTCAACATCACTGTCATGCGCCGTATCGCATGAGGGTGTAAGGGGACTCCAAGGTACATACTATGTCTCTCATTTCTTTGTGCCTAAACTAACGTGGAAACCAAAAAAAAGAAAAAGAAAAAAAAAGGAGTTAGTGGGAATACGGTGTACAAGATTCGAAGTATAATATATTAATATGTGCGTATGGGTGAAATTAAAGAATAATATATCTTATGGAAACTGGACAGATATATTTACTGAATGTTACACTGTAAAGTATTGCACTCGTATTACAGAAAATATTGTTGTACTACATAGCTTTAGCTTTTATACAGACCTTGCAAGAAAGAAAGGAAAGTAACAACTGTATTTTCACATCTCGTTTATTTTATAGTTATTGAGTAACCAGGTAATATTTTTCTTTAAACCAACATCCATTGAGAGTAAATTACACTTTTTTTTTCAGGAAGGAGATGATGACGTCACTTGCTCAGGAGTTTGTTAACAGTGTTTTATATCTGTAGTCCTTCAGATTGGTCATGATGTCTGGTGGAGCTCCGGTAACTTTGCTGGTGTATCGAGCAGACGCGTTGTGGCTGTTTAATCAAACAGGGTTTTATGACGTTGACGCGCGAGCTAGCAGAGCTACAACCCGCCACCTCATACCGTTGTGCTGTGGAGACTAGGCTTATTATTCCCAGGATCACTAATCTTATTGTTATGACTTCGAGGATCAATCAGATTTGCCAAGCCTGGAATCAGCTTTGGACAATATAAGTTGTGCTAGAAGACTAAGTCTAGTAAATGCAATAATGATTCCTTATGCCACCTGTGTTTGTTTTGGTTCTCGGAGACGAGGTCCCGGACGGACGCCACTACTAACAAGTACAGATCAGGTTCGTATAGCTACACCTTTATGAAGTTTGAATTAGGTCAGTGGTTTCGGTGTTTGATTTCTGAACTAGAAATATTTCTAGATTGAATAACGTAACTGAATAATTGTAACGTTGCGCCAATTTTTGAAAAAAAGGAAGCGGATTGTACTTTGTTATAGCTATAAATTTCTTATATCAAAAATTGGAAATACAGATTCCGATAGTAAATATAAAATGGTCAATGCATTACCATCTGCCATCTTGGAGAAAAAAATCGAACATTCCACTTTTTATTTAGGTCGGACCACGAACTTTTCGGACAACCCACGTATTTCTTGGTTTTAAAGATGTTTTTTATTTGGTTAAAATGTAATTAGTAATGTTAAACTAGAGGTCAGTATTCCATGCTTGTAGTAGCAGTGAAATAAAGAATATGACAAGTTGCATTAGAGTAAAGTTTACATTTGTTTATAGGAAAACAAATAAGTTCTAGAACTTC